TATGTATTAATTATTGAAACTGTCCTACCAATTTGATTTGAAACTGTCTCATTGCTATTTGTTTATCAATAAAATTATGAGAAAAAATAAATAAAAAGTAAATGTGCATTATTCTTAAAATATGAATATAAATGGGCAATTTGAATATAGTTGTCATTTGGAATACTTGAAAAAATTGGTTTACATTCTTAAAGAGTTTTGGCAAAATACCTATATGATCACTTATGCAGTTTTAAAAAATTATTTCTTTTGAAGAAATTTTAATGGGAATTTTCATGACAGTGTAAGGGCAAGAGTCTATTGACAAAAAATTAGAATAGGGGACTCATTAGATCTCCTGGTCAATGCTAAAAGGAGTTAAAATTTTACTAGAGAAATTCGTGAAGTAGGTCAAGAATAGTGGTTAGAGAAACAGAAAGCAGCAGATAAAGAAAAGCACCAGATGGCCTTGGGACTTGGACCAGAAAGATTAAGAGCTCACAGGCAGGCAGAGACCAGAGAGAGCCAAGAGCAGGAAGCCAAGTTCGGATCATTGTCCCCAAGAGCAGGAAGCCAAGCTCACATCATTGTCCCCGTCCACCCCTCAAGACAATACAGAGAGGTCCTAAGGGAAGGGCATCAGGCTAAATTTGGGAGAAGCTCTTCATCACATCTATGCACTAACATATATATATATATATATATATATATATATATATATATGTTAGTATATATATATATGTGTGTGTGTGTGTGTGTGTGTGTGTGTGTGTGTGTTCACTCTAGGGCCACATAGAACATTTTACATTGAGTACAGCACATAGAGTGCAACAGCTGTCCACACCCCCCCCTTATTAACTCTAAGCTAACCATGAATAAGGCACCCCCTTGCCAGAACCAGCCCAAAGATAAGACCCTAAAAGTAATTCAAGGACAAGTAAACAGACAAGCTAGAAAGAAGCTGCACATAGACCACTAGAAGAAAAGACATTAGGCAGGCGGGCTCAAAAGCCAATCCAGTTATGGCAAGTTCTAGGAGGGGGTGAAATGGCCCTGACCCCTTAGAGGCCAGGGACAAAGGCCCGCAGGTAACCATTTGTCCATTTCTCCCTTGTTCTGGTTCTTATCAGTAAAGTTATCTGTCTTGTCCTTTTCACCACTTTCAGTGAAAGTTTTTCTTTCCTTAAACTTTGTATCATGAATGCTTCACTGATAGTGAAGTTTATGGTCCCAATGAGCCGCTTATCACAATGGAGCTTCTGTGCTTGTTCCACCTAGGGACACAGCAGTGACCTAGCAGTACGACACTCACAAAGTCCACATTCCGTCCAGCTGGCTGCCTGTACAGGGCCCAGCCCCACCAGAAGTAGCACCTGGGTTTTTGCCTCCTTGGGAAGAGGAGTCTCTTTCCAAGGCCTTCTTAGAGTAGACACAGGAAAAAGGGGGCAATTTAACAAGACTAATTTTTGGAGTGATATCTAATGATTCATGACTGAAAGTAGCTGTAAAAAAGCAATCTCTCAAGTGTTTTATACACACCCACATATGTTTTAGATATTTTAATCAAGACTATAATTTGGTAGATATAGCTTGTGGTAGATATAGCTTATTTAATTTATGAAAGATACTGACTATTACACCTAAGTGACAAGTCTTCATTGTGAAAATAATTCTTCAGTAAGAAATCAATTCACACTTAATTATAAAATGGCTGGCAATTACTTAGCATAAGCAAACATATTAAACTTGTTTTTATGACAAACACTATCCTTCTGGTTTTTGTGCTAGACAGCATAATGGCTCAGGGATTGAACGCTGTGTAAAGCATTCTGTCCTGATATTGTCATTTTGGAGCTGAGTGTGATCTTGGGCAAGTCATTTAATTTCTCATTGTGTAATTAATTTATTTAACTTAGTTCTCTCAACATTTAACAATACTTTGTTCTACAGAAGGGGGTGTACAACTGTGCTTTCTTCAAGAATTTCTGTTTATAAAGAACTTTATATACATTACCATCTAATTCATATATATTTATCACAAGTTAAATAAAGAAATAGATCTATGCAGGTAAAGTTCAGTGTTTTGCCATAATTGAATCATAAGGATAACTTTAGTTACCCTTCCTTATAATATGTTACTGAAATTCTGTGTAGGCTCTACCCTTTTTTGTATTTAGATGTACGATTCTCAACAATTCACATTCATTTGCTCAGAATTCTATGCAAAGCTTGGTCTTCCAACCCAAATAGTTACTTACAAGGAAGGAGAAGGAATCACATTATCTTCCCACAGCCAGTTCCCCTCAGAAGGGTGCCATGATAATCCAAGCCAAAAGAAAGAAGAGAGGCTTATTGGCGGCGAAGTAAGAAAATGCTTGGGAGAAAACAAAAGAAAAAGTTTATGAGCAAGCCCTATTTCAGTTTAGAAAGGTAAATCAGAAACATTTGTAAGAATCCTTAATTTCCCTTCAAAATCCCCTTAATTACCAGCATATGGGTGCCATTTCATTACTTTCCACTGTGTGCATAATTAATATAGTCAGGGAAGGAGATTCAATCAGACCTTTTCTTCCAAGTCGTCGATCTTCACCAAGGTGGAGTTCCTGTCTCTGCAGTCATTTCTACTGTTACTCCAAGTTTTTTCTTCCTTCATTGTTAAATAATAGCAACTGTTTTGGTGCCATTGCCAGGTCTTAGGACAAGGATTGCATCTGTGGTCTGAAAAGAAAATTACATTGAACTATGTCGATTCAGTGGCCTTCAGGTGACCTGGGAAAGGTTAGAAACGAGGCATAAATATTTAAATGGTACAATAGGATTTGAGAGCCAAAACCCTAACAACTGTTGTCTTAAGGATTTCTTGAAAAGTAAAGTATCCTTGGCTATGGGTTACAGTGATGAGGAGTCTCTTTTCAGAGTTCAGTCTTCTGACCTCAGAAATACCAGCTATGCTTTTAAGTTCTGTAAAAACAGGCTTATGAGGCAGAGTTAATAAAATGAGTGTAGGGCCAGCCAAATAGCTCAGTGGATTAAAACATGTGCAAGCAGGCACGAGGGAGGGAGGGTGTTCAATCCCCAGGCCTGCCCTGCCAGCCCTGCCCCTGAGACGCACTGAAAAGGTAATTGAGACTGGGCATGGTGGTGCACACCTATAATCCCAGCCCTTGGGAGGCTGTAAACAGGAGAATCAATCTAGTAGTGGAGTCCCATTCACTACTACAGTCGGGTCTAGTAATGAGACACTGAACACCCTGTAGACCCTTCCCTAAAAATACCAAAAATATATATATATATACATATATATATATATATATATGAGTGTTGGAAGTATCCATATTGGTGTCATTCTAAGATGGCACCCAAATTTATCTCTGTGTTTTCAAACATACAATAAAATCTCTATTTTCCTTTATCTGCTATAAACGCAATGCAATAACATCTAGAAGGTACTGGATGTCATAACTCTCATACCTCAAAGTATCCTACATAGAAACTTGTCAGCAGGTTCTCTCTGAGTAGTTTGGGGTCCTGCCAGTTAGCTCAGTTGTTTAAACTCCTGTTTATGCAAACGCAGTGAGGCGCAGGATACCGCGGTTCAGTTCAGTCCCCAGCTCCACATGCCTTACTAGACCCGCCCTTAAGGCAGTCAAAAAAAAGAAAAAAAAAAAAAAGACCTTCTCTGAGTAGTTAGCAGATCTAAGTCTAATTACCTGAATCGTGAATGATCAGTTCTTTGCAGAGTTTGATGGCCATTTTCTCTTGCCTCTTCAGTAGATTGGCTACCTGTGATTTAAGAAATTCCATCTCTCTGGGAATGACCTGGTAGTTGCACAGTTGCTGGGATAGATTATCCTGCTGGGGGTGAACGACTTTCGGAAGCTGACTCAGTTTCTTTGAATCTGAGTTCATTTCACTAGACGTCCTCAGAACTACAAGCCAGAACAGGAAACCAGTCCATAGCATTCTTGCTTCCTCAAGTAGTCATCAATTATTCTCTTGACATAGATATTTCTTAGGTCGTTTAATATTTATTAGCAACTCTTAATATTTGAGATATGAGTTAAGACTGACAGAAACACACAAAATGTTTTTTTATTCTGAATTATATGTAATTCATCTTTATAATCTTATTAATTCTAAAATTATTGTGCTAATATTAAAATATTGAGTTAGTAATTATATGTCTGACATTTTATCTAAGGTGGTATCACTCTTTATATTGGTGGATTTAAACTGGTGGATTGGAATTGTTGATATAATTTTAGTAAGAACAAAATTCTTCAGGATAAAGAATAGTCTGCAAACTACCTGGAAAAATTTTAAAAATTAGGCGTATCAGACCATTTTCAGTCCCAAGTCCATAAGTGTTTATTTGTATTGATTCATAATCAGCACAACAAATTTATGAACACTTACCCCAAAAGCATAGAATATTAGGAAAAACCTTCACCCTTCTGCGATGAACCAATGAAAGCTTATCATTACATCTTCATTTGTGTGAGGGGGAGTTGACTGGGGATTGGAATCAGGGCCTTCTCACTGAGCTACTCTCCTAGCCTTTCTCTATTGTTTATTTTGAGGCAAGGTATTGCTAAGTCACCAAGCTTCACAAGCTGAACTTGAACCTGTCACCTCCCTGCTTTGGTGTCCCAGTGTGCCACCATGTCCAGCCTCATTCACTTTTAATGTTCCCACCCTTTGAAAAGACCTACTGCTTGTTCTCCCAATGATAAGCTCCTAGATACTCTCTATCTGTGCTAGAACATCATTTTGTTTTTCAAAAGAACAAACTGTATCATAAACTTCCATAAATTCAGAGGTTTGTTCAAATCTTAATGTTCCATGAGGCCTTACATATACAAAAAGAAATTAATGTCATAGGGGAGATGTTAGTGTCATTCAATGAATTCAACATTTTTTGACTGCAGGCCCCCTGAAAATGAAAGCCAGGCTAAATCAGCACTTGTGCATTCTATAAAATATGTAGTTTTAGGACATCTTCCTACTTACATCCAGAATGTTAGTCTGAGATTCCCATTCCCAGGGTCCCAAGGATGGGTTAGAAATACCTCTTTTTGTCTTAGGCAGTAGGAAGTGGAACTTCTAGCATTATCTCTCCCGGATTTGGCCTGTCAGCGCCCTTTTTGTCCTTGTCAGGATGCTATTCTTAATCATACAAGTCAGACTGCTGTTCTACTCACAAGTTTCTAGACTAAATTACTCTTTGTTATATGTTGAAGGTAGGTGAAAAGTCACATTCTGCTTTAAATATATCTCCCTTGATTCTGTAATTGTCGTCACTGGAGTACAGTTGAGCACATGTCTAGGCAGAATAAAGCCCTAATACTTATCCTAAGTATTAAGTAATAAAGTTAGAGTTTTCTTTGTAATCTATCTACTTTACAAAAAGAAAACAATAAATTTGGGTCAGAGTCCTCATAATCATAAAATATATGCCTTGGTAGATGTGGAGATTGTATTAGATATGAGGTCGCAGAAGAGTATTAGAGAATTTGAAATATTAACATCTGTTTGTAACCTTAGCTAAATGTACATGACTCACCAATATGTCTCCTAATCACCTTTCTTTCTGTTGCAAATATACTCACACATCATCCCCAAGGTCACCAGCCCAATCAGCAGCGCCAGGCAAAGGGTGAGCAGACCGAGGGCAGCCTGGCGCCAAGCAGGGCATGGAGCTGAATTCCCTGGAAAGTCAATAAAGGCATGAGGAAAGAGAACGGCCACGGAGCCCGCATACTTCAGGTGGTTTATTTCTCCCGATTAGAAAGCATCCAACTATTACAAGTTTGCTAGTCTCTTCACTGATACCCTGTAGAAAATTCCTGGTATTCAGTGAGATAAAAACCTAGTCACCTGGGCTGAGGAGATAGCTCAGTAGAATAAGCCCTTGCTTGGCCAGTGCGAGGGCCTGAGTTCAATCCCTGGTTCCGCCAAAAAAAAAATAATAATAATAAAACCCAGTTTCCTGTTCTCCATTTCTCTGCTACTGTTCCTTTTATGAATAAGAGTTTTCTCCAAACCTGCAGGCTTGTTTTCATCATCATCCTCCATTCTTTCTCAAATTCACTGATTTCATAATGGTACAGTGTGAAAACTACTTCTTTTGATGATGCTAAGCTTTCAAGTTTCTGAGTTTACAGATTTCTGAGAAGGAGGTTTCTCAACCTGCCTTATAAAAGTGGATTCTACTTTTTAAATTAATTTTTCAAGAATACAAATTAGTAAAAAAAAAAAAGCATTAGAAATGGTACAAAATTTCATTGAGCAAAGTAATAGGAACTCAACAGTGGTTACTGCACTTCATGATATTATCTTCAAATTAATTGTTTAGGTTGCCAGACGTAAACCTGCAAAATTGGTATAAGAAAACCAAAAGAGCAAAACAACATGAAAGTTATAAGAAATTAAAAAGAAAAGTGTGAGAATAATAAGAAAAACAAATTAAGCAGTAACTGCTCCTTTCGAAAGACCACCAGAAATCAGCTATACAATTATCCAAACTAACCTGAGTCTATACATAAACATAGCTTCTTCCCTTCTTTATTTTGTCCTTTGTTTTATCCCAGCTTTTCCTTCCCACTGAACAAATTCTTAAAAGTAACTTTTATCTTCTACAAATAACTTTTATCTACTATTCATGCTATTTAGCCCAAAATAGATGAGTGAATTCAGAACAAATGATGTACAATGTAACTAAATAATAATAAAGCATATATATATATATATATAATCACATTTCTCCATCTTTCCTATCCCTTGATTCAAGTCCTAATTGTATACAGCCTAATATTTTGATTAACATAACATTCAGACATAGTGTCACATTTACCATATCCATGTTCTGCTTTTCCTCAAGGGAGTTAGAATTTAAAAACAAAACAAGCCTTAAAGGAATAGTTACCTTTATCAGACATATGCAAAGTTTATTCTATTTTTATATAGCCTTCCACAGCAAACTCTATCACAGAGGTGCACAAACAAATAAACCTTAATCTGAAGAGCGAGGGAAAAGTCCTTGACATAACACAGATGGTTCGGGATGACCTGAACAGTTAGCAGCCTCCTTATGGTAAAGGGTGTGCACTTACACACCAAACGCACCCAGCCCCAGACGCCGGCACGTTCGCTACTTGAGCTTAAGAGAAGGGGCTGAAACTGGAACTGAGGCTGGGCTCTGCCGCATGTTAGCTGCACAGCCTTGGTTAAATCATTTAATTTCTTTCACTCTCAGCTTTTTCATCTGTGTAATGGAGAAAATACCAATATTATGCACTGCACATTTATATATTGATAAAAATGTTATGCAATATATATACATACTATATATACATATATACATAAATATAGTTTTTATATACAATACTATGCAGATGTCATTTTTTATTGATTCAATATTACAAATTGGTCTGGGGAGATGGCTCAGTAGAATAAACACTTGCCTGGCAAGTGCAAGGGCCTGAGTTCAATCCCCAGTTCTGAAAAAAAAAAAAAAAAAAAAATTACAAATTATGCTGTGTTTCAACTACCTTACCTTCAAAAATAATAAGGTGTTAGCTCTTGCCCACTTCTAACCTATTTATCCTCCAGATTTTTCCTTCAGCTATTTAATCCACCTAACAGAAAAATTTCCTCTACATTCTCTATTTTAAAGCTTCCAACCTGGCATCTAAAAGAATACTCCTCCATTGGGCCGGGCAGATAGCTCAGCAGAATAAGTGGTTGCCTAGCAAGTGCAGGGACCTGAGTTCAATCCCCGGTACAAAAAAAGAAAGAAAGAAAGAAAGAAAGAAAGAAAGAAAGAAAGAAAGAAAGAAAGAAAGAAAGAAAGAAAGAAAGAGAAGAAAGAGAAAGAAAGAGGAAGAAAGAATATTCCTCCATCGTGTCAAGCAAGGCATACATGATTATTATTCATAAATAGAAATTTCTTGGTTCCCAAACTCATTGTCTACCACATCCAACCAAAGTTTTCCACTGCAAGGTAAAGCTGCAGGACACATGTCAATATGGCACAGTCAAAAGAGATTCTGAGAGCCACACCTTCTCTCTTCAGCCTTGGAGGTCTTCACCGTCTACTCACTGCTCCGCGGAGGCAAGCATGTGTCTCCATTTCTGAGATTCCACAGCTCCCATCTCTTTAGTGTCAACAACAGAGCCAACATTTCAAAGCCCAGACACATGTCATTTCCAAGTTTACTATTTGTTTTAGCTAAAGTCTTACCTCTAGTTTTTAGATTATTTCTGTCCCTATTATTGCTTGCTCCAGAAGAATCTTGAAATGTGAGTGTCATGTCGGTCACTTCATGGGACATTGTAGAAGAACACACTACTACAAGTTATGTAAATAATGTCTCAGTGTCTTGAAGCCTGGGAGATGGTGTTCTTTTCAAGGCTAAGAGTGTTTTATGCAAACATTCAACTGACCCACGGCACGTCCCACTGCTGCTCCACAAGGACAGAATAACAGTCAGCACCTTTCTCACTGAAAGTGAGAGAAGTCCAATGTTCTTGGAGGGATTACAATGTTGCCAATCTCAAACTGTCACAGCATTGTTTTTTGATGTGAGGCCTGGGAACACTTGCAGGCACCACAGAACTTTTGTTTCATGGGGATTTCCCATGATTCTTAGGTTGCTCTGAATATTCAAAAAGAGTCAAGCTGAGAAGGTCACAGAGGCACATGGCTATGATACCAGCACTCAGACAGGCTGAGGCAGGAAGATCTTAAATTCAACCTCAGCCTGAGCAATTTAGTGACATAGCAAGATCTTATCTCAAAATTTTTTTGCAGAGCAGTGTAAAGGCCTGGGTACAATCCAGAGAGAGAGAGAGAGAGAGAGAGAGAGAGAGAGAGAGAGAGAGAGGAAACAATGACAGAGATAGAGATAAAGAGAGACACAGAGAGAGAGAAATAGAGACAGAGATACAAGGACAGAGTCAAGGTGTATACTTTATAAGAATCTAAAATTATTCTGTCTAGAGACAGTAGATTTAGCTCATCTTCAAGTATATCAGATATTAAATACAGATAAAGTAGAAAGGGCTGATTGGCTCATGTCTGCTTGCTGCTGTAAGTAATCCAAACATGTATGTGTGGACTCACAACTGGTGGTGAACTTGTGACACCCAGCTGAACTGAACCAGCATGGTGCTGGGTGTGGGAGGCCCACCTGAGGATTGTTACATGCAGCATAAGAGGCAGAACCAGAGAGGAAGAAATTTAGAAACTGTAGGGAGCTGTTTGTTCTCCTGAAAAGCTTGTCTGGCTGTCTTTCCTGATGAACTAAGCAGTTCCCACTGTGAAAGGAGCTCAGAACCTTACTGTCCCTGAAAATGGCTATGGTTCTCTTTGGAGGAGCTCTGGTCCTCACTTGGAGCATTGTTTCCTGACTGCAAAGAGGAAGATGGTGCACTGCTCGGTCTCCTGGAGAAGCTGGTCACACTGGCTTTCCTGATGGGAACTCAGCTATTCTCATCATTGGAGGATCTCGGGACCTCACTGATGCTGAACATGGTGGTAGTACTTTTCGGTAGCACTCTGGTGCTCGCTTTGAGTACTACATCCTGGCACCAGTGCAGATCCATCAGCCTGCTAGCACAGATTCTTTGTCAAGCTAGCACAGACTTTCTAGCTTCCACCACTGACCCTTGGGCCTTCCCAGTGCAGACCCTTGAAACAAGCCTGCATGAGGCTCTGTTGTTTATGATGGGTTCTAGGCCTTTAGCAGGACTGACGCAGGATATCACCATGGAATCCAGGCCCTCAGCTATATTCTTCTAGTCTTTAGTGTATGGACAGATTTCTTGCACTTTCTATGTATAGGATCCTTTGGGTGACTATTACAAAATAATCTTATAAATGATGTAACCTGTATGGCATTGTTCTCCTTGTAAGCCACTGACTACCACATGTGGGCAGAATTGTGTGGGTAATGGGGAGGTGACTGGTCACAGAGAAGGGCTTAATTACTATGAAAATTGGATATGCAGAGAAGTTCTCTTCTGATGTGGATGACTAAGTGCCCAGCAGAATAATCCTCCTTCAGATAACTAATTCAAGGTTTTTTTAAATAACTACCTGAAGTCTCGGGAAAGTAATAAAAAACAGGTAGATTCTCAAAGAAATGAAGCAGTTAAGTGGTAAAATATTTCTGTCTTTACTTGTAATTTGTTTAATCTCCTTAACATGAAGGCAGCCTACAGTCACTATGTAGCAGAGCAACAGACACTCCAACTGAGCACATGTGTCTTTTAGGCTTGAAGAATCAGAGGGTGGATTTTGCCAACCCAGTCTAAACAATGCTGGAGTAATTGGATTACCTATACAGAGCACTCCACATGGAAGATTGTATGGGGGTCTTTAGGGCTTCAAGCCTGCATAATTTATTGTCTTTCATTTTTTGTTATTTTTATTAGAACATGTTTGTGTTGGGTAGTGATTACACTCCCCCTGAAGAATTGGTGCGTATAAATAGCTCAACTCAATCTTTTTTCATTCCCTTTTTATTCTTTTTATATAAGAGATATGGCACAATATTTAAATTTGTATGTTTGATTTATTTCACTAGACTATGATCCCAAGGTGCCTTCATTTTACTACAAATGACTTCAGTTTCTCCTTCTCTGTGATGAAGTGGTGCCACGTTTTGTATAAATGCTCTATCTTATTTATCCATCCAGATGTTGATCAACATTGCAAGTACCTTCTGTTGGACAGAAGCCATCTGTTGAGGGACATATAGGTCACTTGTAAGTTTTCACTATGACGAATTGTACTGCTACAAACATGAGTATGCACGTACCATTATAATACGGTATCTTGGGGAAGATACCTTGGTGGGAATTGCTCAGTCAGGTAGAATGTTGATTTTTTTTTCCAGGATCGTCATACAGATGTCCATAATGGTTGTACTAGATTACTTTCCCACAAACAATGTAGATGGGGATTTTTCTCCACAGTCTTACCAATATTTGCGATGCAGTGATCTCTAGATGACAACCCTTCTTTCTAAAGATGGATTCTGGGCCGGGGAGATGGCTCAGTGGAATAAGTGCTTGCCTAGCAAGCGCACAGGCCTGAGTTCAATCCCTGGTTCTGAAAAATAAATAAATAAATAAATAAATAAATAAAGAAATAAAGAAAGAAAGATGAATTCTATGTTGTTTTAATGTGTATTTCTCTAATGGCCAGTAATGTTGAAAATCCTTATGTACTTATTGGCCATTTTCAATTCTTCTTTTGAGAATTATTTATTTCAGTAGCTCAAATTTGACCAGGTCTGGGCCTGGGGAGATAGCTCAGTAGAATAAGCACTTGCCTGACAAACACAGGGTCTTGAGTTCAATCCCCAGTACAAAAAAAAAAAATTTGACCAGGTCTTTTATTTTGGGAAGTGTAATTTTTTAAATATTTATATATTCTAAATATTAGTCCTTTTCCTATTCTGTAGATTGCCTCTTCACAAACAAATTGTGCTGGTCCTCTTTTCTGTGATTTGTGTCACTGGATAGGTCATCTAGACTCATACCTTGATATAATAACCCTATATTGACAGCATCCCAATTCATAACCCCCAAGTCCTTGGCCAATCCCCAGGACCACTCAGCTGGCTGGATTCCTGGTGTATTTATTTAGATTTCAAATTAATATTAAAATGAGGGCTGGTGAGATAGCTCAGTGGACTAAGTGCCTGCTTTAGCAAGGGCAGGGACCAGGGTTTGATCCCTGCACTGAGCGGGCAACTGCATCCAGGCATGGTGGGGCACGCTTGTAATCCCAGAGCTGGGGAGGTGGAAACAAGGAGGAACACTATGAGTCAGAGACATGAAGTGAGACCCTGTACCAAATACATAAATAAAAAAAGAGAGAGAGAGAGAGAGAGAGAGAGAGAGAGAGAGAGAGAGAGAGACCCTTCTCAAATATCCCCCACAACTTAGTAACTGTAAACTCCCTGGTTAGAACTGCTCAATCAAAACCTGGAATCAGTCCTCTGACTTCTTCTGCTCTAACATGAATTATGTCTATCAGAAAATACTATTTACTATAGAAAATCACTGTCAAACGTGGAAAAAATTTATTTAGAATATGCTCAAAGAAATGCTGAGTACACATGATAGGAAGTTATATTCTCAATCTATTCTTTATCAATCATTCCATTCTCGCACATTATGCCTACTTCAGAGAACTGTTATTAAAGTGCCCCAAGGCCAGCCAGATAGTTCATCAGACTAAAGCGCCTATTTAGGCAGACACAGGGACAGGGTTTCAATCCTCAGCCTGCCGTGCTGGCCCCGCCCCTGGGAAACGCTGAGAGGGCATTGAGACTGGGTGCAGTGGCACGTGCCTGTAATCCCAGTGCTTGGGAGGCTGAAAACAAGATGATCACTATGAGTCCAATCTGTGTAGTGAGACCCTGTAGACCCTGTACTAAATACATTTTTAAAAAAAGAGCTCCGCAAAGGTTAGGGTCCAGAGAATGGTCAGAATGGAAATTAATTCCTAATTATTTATGGAAAGAGGAATAGAGAAAAGTGAAATTCCAGAGTATCAAAGCCTAAAGAATAAGGAAAGAAACAAAAAACCATGGCTACAAGGAGGCGACAGAGAATGGAATTCATTTGGAAATACATATTCACTTGGCTAAAATAATAAGATATCTTTGTTGGTGGAATCTTCTATTCCCAAAGGACTCTACTCCACCCAGCCCCCAGGCCCAGCATGTGTGGGAACTTCCATGTGCTCATGGAATTCTACTCCACACAGCCCCAGGCCCAGCATGTCTGTCGGATCTTCCTGCTGAACTCCATTCCAGCAGGCATCCAGGACCTGAGAGTGTGTGTGTGTGTGTGTGTGTGTGTGTGTGTGTGTGAACTTCCGCATTCGCTGGATTCTACTCCATCAGACAGGCCTAGTGTGGAATCCTGCAGCAGAACTCCCTACAGAAAAACAAGGGACGAGACCCACCCAACTAATCCAGGAGCAGAACATCTTGCCAGAAGGACACAGTGGGTTCACTTCCACAGATTGCAGCAGGAAAAAACAGAGCACAGCAGCCAGACCCAAGCCAAGCCCACTGGGACAAGTTCGAACTGGCTAGACCTGTTCCTGGTAAGCTGAGACACTTTGCTAGACCCAGATCTATAAGAGCTTCCTCTCTCTTTCTCTCTTGATTGAAATAGGGAGCAACAGGGAAGGATCACTATGTGTCCAGTATGTGTAGTGAAACTCTGTGGACCCTGTACTAAATACATTTTAAAAAGGGGGCTCCCCAAAGGTTAGAGTCCAGAGAATGGTAGAATGGGAATTAATTCC